TGTATGTGCGCGCAACGTATAGTATACATTAGTATAGTTCGGATCTCTGAAAGCACATGTTTTTGTTGTTTACATCGTGTCAGTTGTGAGCTAATTTCATTGCTAGCATATGGAATAATGCAAATGAAAAACAACCAACCATCTTTACTCCTGAAAATAATGGCTGGACGTTAGAAGAAAACCAGTATCACTTTCATTGGTTTGATGGTGACCAATTACCAGGAGACGTCAGTGAAGCACTTCAAGATCCAGGTACTGTACTTTAACTTTAGGTTTACAATTTATTTTTTGTTTTATATTTGTAGTTTTATGTTTTGTAATTATTTTATTTGTTTTTTACAGAAGACGCTGACAGCAACGACAACAACATAAATGATGATGATGAGAATGATGACTCGAATGGACAATATGACTGGCTCAATAATGAAAATTCTAATGATTATTTTGATGATGATAACGATGATTAAGGACAATCAAATACATTCACTTACTAACTATAGTTATTTTCTTTTTTACTAAAATTATTTTTTCTTAAAAATGTAAAAACTGTTATCTTTGGTAAAAAAAAATAAACATAATTTATACTCCGAAAAAAAAATTAATTTACCGAATATATGCAATAAATTGTTTTACTTTAATAATTATTAATTATTACCTTAATATTGAAATTCATTTTATTTAAATAGAGATGCAAAAATATTTTATCGAAAGCAGTAAGTACTTTTTGGAATATTTAAATTCTTCGCTGACACGCATGCGCATAGTGCTCTCGCACTCGTACTCACGGCCGAATAATTTTTGTGTTTAGGGGATTTTTGGTCATTCCAATTTGTCTGACTGATTAAATATAATTTTGTAATAGTTATCTCGATAACATATTCAAAAATCAGGCATTAAAAAATAAATGAAGTTCATTTATTTTTGGTGGATCTTTAAAACGTCTGACAAAAGTTTTGGTCCATGGAAAGTGTCTGATACTTGCGATACTACTTGAGAATGATATTCTATTAAATATATATAAAAATCAGCCATATAAATTTAAGTTAAGTAACTCTTTTTTTTAGTCACCTTTCTCACCTGGTACCTGTCCAGGTGTCACTGGGCAAACTTCACAAACACGCAGGTATACAAAGTACATGGGACACTACTGAGAACTTAAAGTTTCATCTTTTAGAAAATAAGTTATGTCTTATCAAAATAATGTGTTTTAATAAATGATAGAATAATAGTAATTTTATCTAAATAGGTAAATCGGCTTCGTCTGTATTTTCAAATTATTGTTTAATTGTAGATAGTATATTAATGTTTTGATATGTACTTATAGAATTGATTACCCAGAGCATGTAAATATGTGGGATGTGACTTGTTAAGTGCCTAATTAAAATCAAAATTTATGTTTAATACTTATTGTTCTTTTCGAGACACACTTTATTATCAACTGTAAACTAATTTACCAACAGCCTTATTTTTATTTAATACCTGCATGATCCAAATTACCAATATATCTATTTTTGAAAATACTAAATTATACAAACAAGGCAATAAAAAATATAATTAAAACAAAAGATTTCAGAGTAACAAGATGGATAATTAACATATATAACATAGATAAATAACATATGTAACACATATAAACTATTTAAATGTACATACCATGTCTTAGGTAAAATTTCTCATCGAGAATATTAAATTAACTGGTTTGTCCATTTTTCCGATTCAGACTTTTAAAGTGAAAAACCATTTGCCTCTTTACCTTTATCAAACGTGTATTGTACATTTCCATAATGATGTCAAGTAAATACCTTATCAGAATAATCAAATTTTTCCTTTTAGCGGGTTTTACTTTATAGTATTTACAGGTGGTTACAAAATAGACCATTTTGAAGTAGTCTTAGAATTAGACACTGAAACAAAATGTAAAACAAATTAGATTCATAAAACTTTATTATAGTTAAATAAAACAACAACTTTAAAAATAATTTTATTTACCTTGCCTTAAATAAGTTTTTCGGGAACAATCGTTGAATTGACACACATACTTTTAATTTATTAATGTCACAGTTCTTAATTAAACACATTTTTCTAAATGAGCACAAATAATTAAACAATTAAAGCGTTTCATAGTAGAGGTCTTAGAGCATATACTCTAAGGTAGAGGTTGGTAGAGGAATGACGTAAGACGGAATGACAGTTTGTTTGATTTTATACAGTGTTGCCAGAATATGTTTTTGTTATGTACCAGATTTGTCTAAAAAAATGTATCAGATTCCTTAAATGTATCAGCTAAACGTGAATATTTTAATAAAAAAATTGAGACTAATAAAAACGTAAGCAAAAATCTTTGGAAATGTATTAAAGAAATGTCAAATGCTAAAGAAAACAAAGTAAAAATTGATCGAATAAAAACTATCCAAGGAACGGTTACTGACGATCTTAAATTAATAACAAATACATTTTGTGAACACTATACAACAATTGGGGAAAAAATGGCTAGTAGAATATCTACACCGACGAACTTAAACATTAGAATAAAACAAAATACTCGTAATAAAAGTATATATTTATCAAATACAAACAGTAAGGAAGTCTCAGAAACGATAAACAGCCTTAAAAATAATAAAAAACCTGGTTTGGATAATATAACGTCTGAAATACTCAAAGAAATAAACAATGAAATATCACCAGTATTGAACTTCCTAATAAATAAATCCTTTAAAAGAATCTATGATAATCCCCATATATAAAAAAGGAGATAAGCTCGAAGTAATTAATTACCGACCGATCTCAATAATTTCCAGTATAGGAAAAATTTTTTAAAAAATAATTAAAAAGAGAATGTTATCATTCTTAAATAAATATGAAGTCATGTCAAACAAACAGTATGGGTTTCGGGAAAACACCTCAACTTCAGATGCTATTGAGAGATTGACAAAAATAATCAATAATTCAATAGACCAAAAACAACCGTCACTTTGCATCTTTGTTGATCTCGCAAAAGCATTCGATACTGTTAACCATCAAAAACTTTTAGAAACAATAGAACACATTGGGTTTAGGGGCGTAGTCTACAATTTAATGAAGAGCTATCTTCATAACAGAACACAATTAGTCGATATTAACGGTACCTTAAGTGATCCTAAGATTATAACCTGTGGTGTTCCTCAAGGAACAGTACTCGGTCCACTACTATTTAACATATATATAAATGACTTATTTGAACAACACGTCGCAGGTGAAGTGGTCAGTTTTGCCGACGATACCGCAGTTTTCTATAAATCAAGTAATTGGGAGTCACTAAAGAATACCGTTGAGGCAGACTTTCCAAAAATTGTCAAGTTTTTCCATTACAAGGCTTTGACAATAAATTATAATAAAACATTTTACGTACCATTCTCATCTTACAGTAATAACTTACCACCCTCTAAAAACTAAAAATTAAAATAGATCAGAAACATTCAATAGATATTCAATCTGTCAATAACATAAAGTATCTAGGTGTATACATTGACTGTCATTTGAAATGGGACGCACATGTGAATTATGTAATAAAGAAACTACGTTTTGTAGTATATAAATTTAAAAATCTATCAACATTTTTACATATTAATCACTTAAAAATATTATATTATGCACTTGTAGAATCTCATTTATATTACGGACTCATAGCATGGGGGTCTGCTGGAATAGTTCTTTTAGAAAATCTACAAAAAATTCAAAAATCCATAATAAAATATATGTATAATAAACCTCGAATTTACCCTTCTACAGCACTTTACCAAGAAACACAAATATTTAACATGTATCAGCTGTATACTAAAGTGTTACTGTTAAATCAATACAAAATCAGTAAAGAGAACAGACATATCACTCATACGTACAATACGAGATATAAAGTCGATTCTGTTACTATACCTCGAGTAGAAAAAACAATTGGACAAAAATGTTTTACATATTTGGGTCCAAAGTTATATAACGATATTCCTTCCGATATCAAAAAAATTAACTCTCGTTCTTTATTTAAAAAAAAGTTATAAAATGGATTTCAGGGATACCTCTTATTAAACTAAAACAATTTTTAAATTCCGATGGTGCTTGTTATAGTCTAAACATTTTTTAAGAAAAATTTAAATTATATTTAAGAATATTTTGTAGTAAGTAGTATTTTATCTATAATGTTTTATAATTAATTGTTTTTATTTTATAATTTTGAATCAGTTTGTTGTTTAAAAAATGAAATTCATGCCCACGCTCAGGTACCTAATCCTTTTGTGGGTGTTTTCATTTTTATTTACATACATTATGCATTGAATTGTTTTTACTAAGTATAATTCGCAGTTACTTGTAATTATTTGTGTGTGAATAAAAATTATTATTATCAGATTTTTCGAATTCTAATTGCAGTGACATCTAATTCATTGAAGGGGAAAAAAGGGCGTCTTTATTAATAACGAACCCAAACAAGGAACACAATATATATTTTTTACACGTGAACACTGATGCATGCATAATGTATTACATCTAGTACAATTGTGAATTGTACTAGACTGGCAACACTGGTTTGGCAACCTTGTTTGTGAGCGGCGCGCCAATTAATGTGTTCTTCTGTAGTTTGAAGGATTTGTTGACGTGTTGTCTTCTCTTTTTAGTTATATGCATTCGCCATATCGTCTCGCTCGTGTTAGGCTCATTCATTATAATGCGCCACAGATACAGTATACTTAGGTATACTGTGCCACAAAGACGCGATCAGCCAGAGGACAATGATGTACCAAAAAATATAGATAAACACGTATGAAAATAAAAATATTAAAATTAAATTTATATTTTTATGCTATTTATGTAATTTTAAAATTATGTATTTTTATGAAATTTAACTGGATGTTCACTGTACAAATGAACCAATGGAGAAAGCGCCCCTGGTGTACGGAGTACAGAAAATCGTAATTTAAAAATATATTTTTTTAAATATGTATAAATTATTTATTTATGTTAAAATGTACATTGAATTTCTTCGGCGTATTCTTCATAAATTTTCTTTATTTCTTTAAAATATTTTGGGTTTGTGGCGACTTGAAGCGTATCATTGATGTTCAGATATGTCAATAAGTTTGGTGTAACTTTTGACCACTTGATGGAACCTGTACCATTGTGAGAAAGGGGGTTCCTAAAAACAAAGAAAACAATTACATATTCATCTAACGAAAATTTCAAAATAAAATAAGATTAAGTAATTTTAATTATTATATGTATTATTTAAAAAATTCTAGTCTTCATTGGGGTATATAGCCAGGGTCGACTAGAGGGGAGAGGGGGTGGGCAGCCGGGACTAATTCCCGGTGCCCGGGCTCAAATGGGGGCCCGGCAGCGGTATAAGGGGGACCCGGCCAGCGGTGGTGTTTGTTATTTTCAGAAGTTCGACAGAAGAGGGTGGAAGTTCTTAGTTGAAGACTTTTTTTAGAGAAATTTAAGTAGAGGAGCCCGATCTGGAAAATTGTTCTGGGGCCCAGTCTGGCTCTCGGCGGCCCTGTATATCGCTTAATATAAGAGGTAGAAGGTCGGTTAAACGCGAAATATTTTAGAGAATGAGATGCTGGATCTCGGATCAGGTTTATAAAATAATTAAAGGTTATGTAGTGTTTGTCTCGTTAAATAAAACATTAAACATACTTGAAATTATTAGAATAAAGACATTTTTAAAGGATAATATTTTTATAAAAAAATCTTCATTTGTTTTTGAGTTATCCAAAATAACTTTGTTTTTCTTTACTTACAAATGTTTTATAAAATTTGTCCACAATGTTAGCAATGTTTCTTGAACTTTAAGATCACTGGTTGGAAAAGAACCTATATTTATATTAAATTGAGTTTGGAATAAGTAATTTAGTTCTTCTGTATGGCCAACACCTGCAAAAAAAAATATAATAGTAAAATTATTATTGACAATTTTTTTTGCTATATTATCTATGACACAACACCTCTATTTTGCCTACAAAATATTCATGTTCACGGTATATACAATATTTAGAGGTAAAAATATCAGTTATATTATAAAAAGATATATACAGTTCATAAAGTAACGCATTAGTTAGGGAACAGAGAGTCGAAAAGACGCTTCTAAAACATCGGACTGTGCACTCGAAGATATACTTTTTAAAAAATATGGACTATGTTCGGAATGGCCCTACGGATACAAATCCGGAGGGCTCCGCTAAATTAGCAATAGCAAAAAGAAATAAAAAAATATTTTTTCTACGACCGTGTATTTTTATTCACTTTCCCGCACGCATTTTAGTTTTGAAAGTGTCACTTTCCCGCACTAGTGCGGGAAAAAATCACTTTCCCGCACTAGTGCGGGAAAGTAAAATTATGAATATTTGGCATTACCTTTTGTATAGTTTTTTTACCTCGGATGTTTTAACTATTGTTACAATAGGTAATTTAGTATTTTTCAACTATTCCATTTAATAAAATTACTTTTTTTCTTGCTTTTTGTTATAATTTTAATTTTTTGGAAAACTTGAATAATAGAGATATTTTTATATACCTTCTGTATATTTTTAAAAGTCAGACTAGGCTGTGACATGTATGGCTTGATATGGTTGCTATATGGTAACCAAGGCGTGTTATTGTTACAAAAACGTCAAAGTTGTTTGTTGAAGCGTCAACTGAATTAAAATAAATTAAAGAAATAATGGATTCATCGGATGAAGAGCTGCCCGAAGCCATTTTAAAAGCTGCAAATGAAGCACATTTGGAGGTGTTACCTGCCAAATCACGAGGAAGATATGAAAATCAATACGACCATTTTGTCACATGGTGTAAACAGGAAGGGGTAAAAACCTACAAAGAAGAGGTGTTTCTGGCGTATTTTTCGCACCTAAATAAGTTTTTGAAATCTAATACTTTATGGTCTCGCTATTCGATGGTGAAAAGTTTAGTAAAAATAAAACAAAATTTGGATATAAGCCAGTTCCATAAGTTAACGTCATTTCTAAAACAAAAAAATGTTGGTTTTCGAGCACAGAAGGCGCAGGTTTTTACCAAAGAAGATATATCCAGGTTTATGTTAGCCCCTGATGAGATATACCTTATGATTAAAGTGAGTACCATTTTTGCTTTAGCTGGTGCTCTCCGCAGAGCGGAGCTTGTAAATATCACTCTCGATGATATACAAGATAAAGGCAATCTGATAGTTGTGAAAATTTCCGATTCCAAAAATCATTCTTCAAGATCATTTGTTTTATGTGAAGAAATAAATAATGGAAACTTTCTGAAGCTGTACAGAAAGTACGCAGGTTTACGACCACCTACCACTCCGCATCGCCGCTTTTTTATTAATTATAAGAAGGGAAAATGCTCAATTCAGTGCGTTGGCGTAAACACCTTTGGTAAGATGCCAACAGAGATTGCTGCATATTTGCGTCTACCTAATCCTGAACGATATACAGGCCACAGTTTTAGACGTTCTTCAGCAACATTCCTAGCAGACTCAGGTGAAGCGATAACCAATATAAAACGTCTCGGTGGCTGGAAGTCCACTACTATCGCTGAAGGCTATTTGGAGGACTCCGAAACATAGAAGAAAAACATTTCAAATAAAATTCTTTTAAATAGAAATGACTTGCAACCTTTGCTGCCACCGTCATTTTCACCTTCATGTGACCTGCAACCGATGTCACTCCCGTCCACGTCATCTTTTCAATCTACGAGGGTTACGACTATTAACAGCCAATTAACACCAACTAATTCCTCTGTACCGGCAATTTTACATAATTTACAAAATGCTACAAATTGTGTATTTAACATTAATATCCATAATAATTAGTTGTTTTTATTTAAAGATTGTATTTGTTGAAATAAAATAATTTTCCAAAAATAATTTTTCCTACTTTTTTGTACATACGGTCGAAGAAAAAATAATGTTCCTAACTCATGCGTAAAGTGTCTTTCCGAAATAGTTAGGAAAATAACTATTTCGATTATTTATTTTGATTTATCGTAAAAAACAATTTTTTGTGTTTAACTCGCGATTGTGACGCCGTTTTTCAATATTTTTTATTAGATTATTTAAAAGGAGGCGCGATACCAAAACTGAGGTGAAAATTTCAGCATCGAGCAAATTTTTGAACGGATGAAGATAGATATATGATTTTAATCGTTGAGAAATGTGCCAAAGTGAATGGAAAAGTTTTTGATAAAAAAAAATACTTTACTAGTAACGGTTTGCAAGATATGTATTTTTTTTTTGTCAAACGCTGAAACGTCTACTCCGTGGCCTACCACGTTCGTACGACGCGACCGCGACGCTGCATTGATATAACATCGTCTCTGATATAAAACATACAAACAGAACTTTATGCAGAATGTTGTGAATATTTTGGTCTCTACCGCCAAGAAAAACTTTTAGTTGAGATTTACTAGTTTTATACCTAAACCAGAGATTCACAGGCTTGGCTTGTTTTTTAAAAGCTTGGCTTGAGCTTGGCTTGAAATCAAGCCAAGCTTCTAAAAATACCAAGCCAAGCCTAACATTTTTTTTTCAAGTCAAGCCAAGCGTTTTTTAAAAAAAAGCTTGAACCGCCAAGCTTTTTCAAGCCAAGTTTTTAAGCTTTCAAGCTTTTGAAGGAATTATTTACGTTAACTGTTTAAAATAATTTACAAAATTTATTTAAAGTAATTACTAGAAAATCCAATATTCTATCAGGAAATTGATGGATGTGCGTTGAATAGAAAGGGACTTCTAAAAAGAATAGGTGATTTAGGTATAAAATCTTATCATTATCGATCTTCATTTATTTCTAACATATATTTTTGTATCAGTACAAGAAATATACATAACATGATAAATTATGTTTACTTGCATGTATGAGAAATATTACATTCATGATAATTAAAAAAATTAAATAATTTTATTATAACTGCAATAAATAATATAACTCAAAACACCAAACTGTTTTCTTACATGGTATGCATTCTTGTAATGATATAGTAAATAAGAAATAAAATTATTATTTTGTTTTCTTAAGTCGGTAAAGGAAATGAAAAATAAGTTTTTTTTTACATAACTTTTATAATGAACATGAATATAAAAAGCAATAGATTTCAATAGCATAACTTTAGAATGAAAAGCATAAAAATAAAAATAAAAAGCAATAAATAAAATTAAAAACATAAATTCTAATAACAAAAATATTTTATATAATGAATAACTTAAAGATAAAATAAAAAATAGTTTATTCTTAAAGGACAAAAGACAGTATCTCCCAATATCTAAGAAAATAGTTCTTGTCCTACCCAACTATTTAGACACATCAAGCATCTAATAGATTCATCATTTAATCTATTTCGTAATTTGGTCACAGTAAGGGAGGCTCGTAAAAAATATATTTCTATAGATGCAGAGGTTGCAGGAATGGACAAAAAATCTTTTGCCATTTTTGCTAAATTTGGGAAAACATTCTCGTGACATCGCCACCAATTGAGAATATCTTCGGAGCCTTCAATCCTTGGTGTCTCTAGATATTTATCGATTTCATACCGCCAAGCTATAATATTATTCTTATTTCGCGATGTTTTGTATAAACTTAAAAAATCTATATCGAATTAATCGTTTTCAGCGTCAGTGCAACTATTAAATTCATTTTTTTCCAACTCTTCGTCTTTTTCACAGTAGTAAGTAGTTTTATATATTTTCTCAAAATGTTCAACGGCCTTCGTTTCTAAACTTTTTCCCCAATTAGTGGCTGAGAAAGTTTCAACTATGTGTCGCGGATCTAATATTAAAACTACGCAATACATCCAGTTTGTTTTGTCATAATGTTTTAAGATTTTGTCGCGAGCTGCTTGAAGCGATAATATTAGTGCTTCGTCAACGTTGTTTCTATCAACTTTTTGATCTAAGTTACGTGCCCACTTTTCTAATTTATCTAGTAATAAATTGATTTCTATTACAACCATTGGCAGAGTACATTTTTTTTTCTGATTCCAAAGTGGTTGAAAGTTTACTGAATCCTGTTAGATAATTGCATACATTTTGAATAAGAGACCACTCAATATTAGTGACTCGAAATGTCTTTAAGTCGTCCACATTGTCGCAAAGCACGTTAATAGCATTTTTTAAATCTAGGGCCCAAGACAGCATTTGAAACGTGGAGTTCCATCTTATAGTTACATCTAACTTTGGCATTTTCATTTTTAGATTTCGCAAAATTTTTCAAAATTTATTTTAATTAATTATTTTATTCAAAAAGACATCTGGTGGTTTAACTAACCTACATTAAAAATTTTTTTTTTAAAAAATACTTATTACACATGACTTTTTTAACTCGTTCTGTTAAACTTTTTGTAGCGCTTCCTTTATGGAATTAGTCAAGGTGAGTCAAGGTTATTGTTTAACTTTCTTTTGTTTTTTCTGTTATTTTGTATATGTTAAAGTCCGTTCATGCTTTTATAATTGTTTTTATTACAACTGACTCCTTGACATTCCATTTAGGTGTGCCTGATGATGAAGTGACAACTTCGAAACCGGTCGCCAATAAATTGACTTGTGAGAAATAAAGGACCTTTTCTTTAACCTTTACACTTAATCCCTACTACTCACATATGGCTACCCTCACTCCAAATTATTTTAAGTTGTTCCGATTTTTTAATTTTCTCTGTAATAGCTTTGATTTTTTTGACTGGAGAATCACAGTAAATTTCAAAATCCAAACAATGTGTTTCTTCGCCAGATTCGGTATCAGTTTCTTTGGTTGTTTTATCAATATTAACTTGAAGACTTTGCATAAACTCACACGCCCCTAAATTTAAAATATGCGCAAAACAGACAAAATGCATGTCTTTTGAATAAAAATTTTCATTTAACTTTTCTAACTCTGTGGCAAAAGTAAAGTTACTGTTGGTAT